TGACGTTTCTAATTTTCAATGACCTGCAAATATTTGTTTGTTGTGTATCCATAGTTGCCCTCTAGGGCATAAAGTGGTTCTTTATGCCCGCGTATCACAGATATAAAATGTGCTATGTTATGTTAGTAAGACCATAGACCAAATACAAAAGACATAAATGATAAAATCCATTTTGAACTGCTGCTAATTGATAACTGGATATCTTTTTATTTTAGAAAATTCCATGGCATCACAGATTATTAAAAAAGTTGCGGGTTTTATTTTTCCAATTTTCCGTCTATATGAAAAAAATCAGGGACGTAACAACTTAGGAACGGGCCCTGGTGCAACACCAAACATACGGGCCCCACTGCATCATTAATAAATCTCTTATCAGAATCGCTTAGAACATTACTAAAATTGGATTTTTCGGTCCTAAGGTTAGACACTGTTGAATCACACAAATCGATAGAAGACGATGAAATTGCGTTAATGTCGGCTATTTGAACTTTATCTTCCATACTCCTTGATGTGCTTGGTGTCGCTGTCGATGTTGAAGAGGCCGATGATGGTGGAGAGTTATCATTATTTTTTTCTTTCTCTTGAGGTTCAGGTTTAGGATGATTTTCCACAGAATGAAAAAACGATGTCAATTTGGGTAATTTTTCTTTTTTGCGATTTTCAATTTCTTTGCCTTTTCGCTTCTCAGCTCCAGACAGATGTTTATAGTGGCTCATTGTTACTTATATGTGATTATGATGACGATTAGTAGGTCATCATGCACTAATACAATTACTCTTTCACTGGCACTGTAAAAGCCAAAGAAAGTAATGATAATTATTAATCGTAATGGGTATTGAAGTTTATTTATTCATTTAACACAAAATTGACAAAATTATTTTACGTAATAACTTTTATTCACGATCATATTGTAATCAGTCTCATAATTGTCATTTTGAAGGATAAGGAAGTTGTGTTTTACAACACTTATTTTTCCAGGAGGGAGGAAAGTAGATTCTCGAGGTTAGTAATGTTCGATTCGAGGTTAGTAATATTTCATTACCTACCTCGATTTAGTTGCTAATATCCTAATGGATGGCGCTCTCATCGTAACTGTCTGACACAGATGACAGCTGATTTAGATGCAAATTGTTCAAAACCGCATTTTAAAAACAATTCTATTCTTATAATGAGTAATATGGATTATTTTAAGCTGTGTGCTTTTTTGTTCTAAATTGCAAATGAACGACCAAACGCGAAAAAGTGAAATAAGTAAATGCGGACCTAAGTAAACACAAGTAGGAGTTGTGATTAACTTTAGCCAGATTACGGAGATGATGGTTTGTTTCACGTAACCTAAAACTAAACGAGCGCGGTGCTAAATGGTTAAGTAAAAACAAAAGCAAAAAGAAACCGTTAATTATTGAAGGATCGGTAAGTGTATAACACTCGAACTTGAGTTTAATGAAATTGATTGTTACTTTAGAGAGCCCATTACTGTTTAAATTTCTGGGTGGAAAAGTTCAATTCTTGTCTATAAGACATGGAAACATTGGGTTGCGCTTGCGACCCATGAGAAGAGCAAGGGATGACAATTTATGGCATCATAATGTTGCATATCGGAGACGTCGTAGCACTACCTGAAGAGGATACTGCCATACTTTGTTATTTTCGCGTGCCCGTAAAGCGAATGAGCCACTGAATGGGCGACGAAACCTTCTGCTACTGCAGCCGATCTACAGCCACCGAACTGTTTTAAGTTGAAGACTCCACCAGCACTTGCTAATATTGTAACGATGAGATGCCAAAACAATGTCCGGTAATTAAATGTAGGTAATTTGTCACCTTTTAGAAATAGATAATGCTATTTTTTAGGGCTATCGTATTGGAACAGGTGTTTAGTGACTACCTGATTGGATCTGGAGAATAAATCTTTCCTTATTGACATCTACACAGATTATAATACTAATATTGTAACCCAGTCTAAATCTGTAATCATAAAAGATCGCTGTGGGTACATTTTAGAATAATAAAACTGACATGGTCATTAGGCATTAGGTTTGAATGTGGATCACAACATTATTTGATCGTTCATAATGTGGATGATTTCTTTACCTTTAAAATAAGCAAGTAAAACAGGAAGTTTTACCTATACCCTTTCCTGCCCACCATTGTTCATTCTCTTCAAAAATTCATTCGGGGAGTAAATTTTTTACTACACTCAACTTCCCTTATTTGAGGGGATGTACATTGAAATTCTTTAGTATGGGCCATTTTTTAACATGCATGTTAAATTAATATGAATATTAATTAGGTAATTTTCCAAATCTGTATTACCGACAACATTTTATGTAGGGCAATAATATTGCAGATGGCGCATAAGATGAATATACTACGTATAAATTTAGTGAATTATTTTATTTTTGATAATGGAATGATTATAATGATGATCGTGAATAAAATCGTATACGAACCTCGACGAAAGGTTATTTTTCTTAGAATATAATCATCATTAATTAAAATTCTTCGAAAAATAACCTACTTTCGCACTCGGTGCGTAATATGCTATTAATTTTAAAACCTTAGAAACACAATTTAAAATAACTTCGAAGCGAAGGGTAAAGTAAAACTGCCATGCAAGTGCAAGAAAAGAAATGTTCTTTAAAATACGCGTAGGTAGCAAAACAAACGAACGAATATGATTTATGGTTACTGAACTAAAATTATTAACATCAAGAATGCCGCATCCGGCATCGGCATGAGGCATCATATAACACTTTTTACTGGTAAATTTGCTTAAACGTGATGGACGTGTTATAAAGGGATTAAAATGAATTCTTAGAGTCGGTCCCTACCACAGTGCGCTTATCTCCTAAAGGAAGGATTATGATTCATGAAGGTCTGCCGATATATTGCTAAATTTACATTTTAACAGAATAAGTACAATAATAACCAATTTCTTAAAATCCTTCTGTACCCCATATTTTCTAGTAATTTCTTGTTTTAACATTATACCTTTCATTCGATATGTAACAGTAACATAGAAATAGTTTAAACAAAGTAAACGCCGGGCCGGGCCCCTTCGGCGCCCGGGCCCTGGTGCGTCGCACCAGTTGCACCTCCTGTTGCTACGTCCCTGAAAAAAATTGAAAACTAATACGGTTGATTGGAGTAAAAAAATTTTTTCTACAAAAATCTATACATTTTAGCTCTAAAATAATTTGGGGAGCCAATAATCGCATGTTATAAATTTTAATAGCGTTTTCGATTGGCAAAACTCGTACTGCACGAGTGTTGCACGAGAAACTGAAGAAATCCATGTGAAAATTGCTCTCAATGGAACATAAACATTCGTAAATATTTGTTGTCATTTGTCCATAACCTCATTTTAGATTTAGGTAATCGACAAATCTCTATTCTAAAAAATGACAAACGATTTCAGTATTATTTATGATAAACAATGTACAGATAGGGTAAGTAACTGCACACCCAGCAAACTTACACAATGTAAATTCGTCTGGGGATCCTTGACTTGAATTCTTCCTTGTTACCTAAGCGCGGTTTAGACGCTACGATAAATTGTAACAATTTATCGTTACGATCGAATCGTTACGATTTATCGTTGCGTGTGAACAGAGGATTGTAGCGATTTATTGGAATTGGATTGGATTGGATGGTTGATGGCGGCCGGCTTCAATTTCTGCGAATCGTAGCGATAAATTGGAACGTGTAAACAATAACAGCGATTTATCGCTACGATTTGTGATTAATGTTGCCGACGTGAACCATTTTTGTATCCATTTGGGCTACTTGGACTGTCTCTAGCGCACACGTTTTACATTTGGCGAGTGGCGATCAAGTTTGGCCACCCAAAAAAAATATTTGGCGACACATGGCTAGTCAGAAATCATAATCGAGATTAAGATTCTATTGTAAGCAAGCAATGTAAGAAATAAAATGCGAGTATAATTTATATTAGTGGACAGAACCAAAAGACAAGTTGAAAAGTAAAAAAATAAAAACTGTATTAAACCGTGAAGGACAATGAGATTGGAATAAGAAATCGTTACATGTAAACAGTACGCACTCTTTCGATTTATTGAACGATAAATTGGACAATCAGATCGTTACGATTTATCGAAGCCAAGATCGTAGCGTCTAAACCGCGCTTGCGAACGTTCCTAAATTTGGGCTGGCGTATAAATCCTGTTCTAAATGAACAAACGATGAGGAATATAAATTGGAAATTCCTGTAAAAGACCAATTTTTTTTGGCGTTCAGTTTAATGAGTAAGTGCAAGTTTTTGTAAAATAGAAGTTATGGCTAGTTCATCATCTTCGCTATCGCTAGATGACGACAAAAAACTCTCCCAACGCAAGAAACAAATTCAAATTGTCGCACGTTTGTTTTGAAAATTTGTTAACTATAGCAGCTCCACGAGCTCTCGGACCTCGTGCGTCGAAATTTGCACTGAGTGCGTAACTGTTGCATCACATTTGCCAATGGAACACAGAAAATTGCCCTAAAATTACCAATAGAACGTAAAAATTGCACTCGTGCAGCACGAGTTTGCCAATCGAAAACGCTATTACATTGAAATCCCTATGATGCGTTACGCAACTCACCACCCTGTATAATTGCCCCCCTCATTACGCAAAACGATAGTTTACAACTATGTGTAAACCAAAGGGGTAAACTATACCGATTTGAATAAGAATGTAAAATGCCTAATAATCATATTACCAGATGTTGAAGAAACCTTGAGCCATTGGATGCGGAGTCTTAAGTTTTGGCCAGGCCAGATAAAAATTTCACTAAATACTGCTGTGTCAAGAACATTTATTACACCATTCTGAAGATTTTTATTTCGTTTACCATTTGGAATAACATCAGCCCCAAAATTTTTTTCTGCTCAAATATGGATTGATTATTTTCACCTTGAAAACGTCTTAAACATGTAGATCTATAAACTATATAATTGCCCCATCTAATTTTCACATTAATTTGTAATAAAAAAGAAATAACAACAAAACGGGTAACTTTATTTTAAGTACCTACCTATAAAAATAGAGCTCCAGATTAGTTAAAATTCTCTCAGTTAATCAAAACAAATAAATTATGTATGTACAAATTTAAAATAATACTATGCCGAAAAGAATACACGCCAATTTAAGTAACTATGGCTTGCCGAATTTATCCCAATACTCCTGAGTTTGCATCTCAGATAATCTTGAAAGTGTTCTATCAAAAGCAAAAATTTCCTCGTCTCCCGTAAAAATACTTGCCGAAGCATCAGCTTGTGTTTTTTCAATTTTTAGGTCATCCATTAGAATGCGAGTATCGTCATCATCTTCAGTTTTTTCAGGGGAAAATAATTGGTTTAAAGGAACATCCGATGATATCACAATACGCGTTTTGTGGTTGTAAAGTGCATCTATAAGTGTAATAAATCGTCTCGCCTGCGATTTCAGCTTAAGATTTAGTTGAGGCACATCGCGAATAATAATAGTGTGGAAAAATTGGGTTAGATGAATATAATCATTTGCACCAAGTGGTCTATCACATAGTTCTTCGAAAGTAGTATCTAATACGCCACCACAGGCCTTCCTAAATGTTACATCTCTTCCAAGGATTGTAAACGTTTTTGGTCTCACTGTATCATTTTCTTTCGATGTTAAGTATTTGAAAATAAAATCTAAAGGATCATCTTGTTCATGCTCAGACTTGACAAAATAACGCTGGTCTCCTACAACACCCTTTTGTCTATAATCAATTCCAGAATCCAAATTAATGACTGTACAATGATCCTTTAAAACTTTTATAAAAGGCACAAAATTTGATCTCTGTAAACCATTCTTATACAAGTCATCAGGTGATCGATTACTTGTTGCGATAACAACGACTCCATCTTCAAAAAGTTGCGTAAACAACCTTTTTAAAATCATAGCGTCAGCTATATCGGTAACTTGAAATTCGTCAAAACAAATTAACCACGATTTGTTACTGATTCGATCGGCCACAGGAGGTATTGGGTCAAATCGAGATTTGGAGGTATTTGTTGCAGTCATCTGTTTGGTCTCGTGAATTTTTTGATGTACGTCCACCATAAACGAATGAAAGTGTATACGACTTTTTCTATCAAAATCACAACAATTATGAAAGATATCCATTAACATAGTTTTTCCTCCACCCACAGCTCCATGTATGTAGAGACCTTTGGGAATCTTGCGCTTACTTCCAAATAATCGACTAAATATACCATTATCAGCCGGGTTATATTCTTCAATGTCGTCATAAACACGCTGCAACACTTCACACACTTTTACTTGAATAGGATCGGGCAGCAGTTCTCCTTTATCGATTTTTTCGTACAATGCATCTAAAGGACCATATCTGGCGGTGTCAACTATACGGGCTTTCACCGAAAATGTTATCTTCTGTTGGTAGTTTGTAAGGGCCACACATCTCAATTTGTGCAAAAACCGTTTTGCCATTGGGAAGAGCAGATGCCAAACTAAAATATTTCAAAGTAAGCACTTAATTTATTAAAGACATTTATATAAACATGTTACCAAGTGGAATACTACTCTCTCGTTTTAACAAAGATACACATTTTCGTAATTAAAATTATCAAGGAAATCCTTACGTAATTCCCTAAAACTCGGAATCGGGCGATTGGGAGATTCCCAATGGCAACATTCATTCAAAGATATCGTCATACTCAAAAGGTAGGTTCACAAACACAAGTACGCATTCACGGTACTATATTCTACATAGTACATATGTACTACACGAAACTTGTAGTCTCTCACTCTGGGCATTGATTTTAACATTTTATATACCTATGTTACGGATAAAGTGTTACTTGGTTAGTTTATAGACTAGCTGGACTGGATAGTATGTAAACTATCCAAACGTGTGATTATAGGTATTTTGATGGGAAATCATCGTTTCGCTAAAATAGCTACGAATATTGGTGGGTTGGTTTGTATACTATTCAGGTAGTTTATCGCATCGCCAAAGTAGGTTGTACAAACTACCAGAAAATTATATAAATAACTATTATGTCTATTATGCATTACCTAAGCATCCATAGTAACTCATTTATACAAAACAAACAAATATTTGCAGGTCACTGAAAATTAGAAAGGTCAATTATTAATTGTCAATACCTACTAAATCATATGAATGGCCTTATTTCGAATAGTTTCTGGAACTTCTTCCTCATTCACGATGAATTGAATTATTTAAAATTACGTTCCACGTTTGGATGGTTTCAATCACATTAACAAATTCGAAACATAATGAATTATTTATAGTAAACGAATATTTACTTTGACGAAGAAAACTATTTGTAAGACCATTGAATAAATGGTAAAACATAAAAATTTTATGTCTTACCATTGAATAATAAAGATTTATTATTCAATGGTCTTACTAACCTATCATAGCACATTTTATATCTGTGATACGCGGGCATAAAGTACCACTTTATGCCCTACTAAGTATCACCATAGTAACACACAGTATACTTTGACAAAACGAACAAATATTTGCAGGTCATTAGAAACGTCAATTATTAATTGTCAATATACTTTGTTTCAAGGGTGCTGAACCTTTCGTCACACTATCTGACGTCATAGCAAAATTAAGGCAGGTCGTAAATTAGTAGTTGGTTTACATATTGTCACATTGACGTTTCAACTTATTTATTAAGGTGTCACTATCGTTCATTATTATCAGACCGTCCAAGTTGACAATCACTTGTAAGGCATCTGGTCCTGATAGGTTTTTTCCTGTCCCCAAGTTTTATAATGGCTAAATGGTCATGTATTTTATGTAGAGGAACTCCGTTGGTATGAATTAAACTCGAGATGAAACTTTTTCCACCGTTTGTAATCACCTCATGTAACCGATTCTTTGCACCGACAGTCGAAATGGATACTGCCAGAGCATCAGAAACTCTTTGAGATGAAGTGTATGATGGTTACAGAAAACGCATAGGAACATTTGTAACTTAAAGTTTGTCTTTAGGCAGTTCGTAAATTAATATTTTGTTTACATAATGTTGATGTGAAATTAAGTTCATGTGTTTATTTGGACCTAGTCTAAACCTGTACACTTATTGAGAAATGATTTGAGGAACCGGAAAGGAGTGGAATAGGATGTACTCTTCACACCAAGGGGTCTTTCAGGGTGGCTAACGGACAGAACAGGTTAAGTTGCGCGAATTTTAATGATCCTTAACTAGCCATTTGCAGAAGTCGTATAGGCCATGGTTTGTCGGTAGGCCTTTCGCATTTATATATCTTACAAATTTGAGATAAAGCGTAGGCATTATACTCGTACCACAGGCTCATTGAAATAACAAGCATACATACAGTTTCTGTTCTTTTGCCACACACTCGAGATATTCGCATAAAAGGATCTTGAATATCTTCTGATCCAATTTATTTAAAAAAAACGCAATTGTGAGAGAAAACAGGTAGTGAAGATATTTATTCCTGAAAAAACTCAAATGTTCATATTCAAATCGTATGTACAAAAGAAAAAACGACACTACACCACAAGTATATATGTATAAACGGCCCAAAATAATATTCTTAAACACGCTCATTCTCTTCTGTCTCATGAATATAATCACCATAATAATCTTCGTCACTATCAGATTCGTCCAAGTTGACAATCACAGGTAAGATGTCTGATGTATCAATATGTTGTTCCCGTTCCCAGGCCTGGTTTATAATGCCTCTTGTATGATCAAAATATCTTTTCCATTTTTCCGGTGTAACCTAAACATTAAAGTTATTAAGTACTGTTTCACAAAACAGCATATAAAGAGGTTACTTTGTGCAGTGCCTCATTCCATAAAGACAAAACGGCACTGTGTGTGACAGGCTGAATTGAACCGATCCTTGCATCGTAATGCCGTTTGCATTCTGACCATACCATTTCGATTGGATTATACTCGCAGTGATATGGAGGAAGTCTCAAAACACTGGAAATCTAACGAAAATCGTTTGACGGATTGATATTATTGACAGATCAATAATTGGTTTATTTGTCACGACTTACGTTAATGACGTAATTTTTTTGTCTCAATCGATTTAAATGTAATGAAGAGAGAATCGCATCTATGACGTCAGGTTCAGCACCAGTGAAACAAAGTATACCTACTAAATCACAAGATTGGCCTTATTTCAAATAGTTTCTGGAACTACTTCCTCATTCACGATGAATTGAATTATTTAAAATTATGCTTCAATCACATTAACAAATTCGAACCACGCATACTTGATCAAACATAATGAATTATTTTGTAAACGAATATTTACTTTGACGAAGAAACCTATTTGTTTAGACATTAATTGTGTATGTACCACGGGCATAAACTGATGTTTATACTCTCGGGCCTATCGGCCCTCGAGCTTTTTAACATCGTCGCCCTCGAGAATATAAACATCACTATTATGCCCTTAATACATAAATAACTACCTATTAGCTATACCTCGTTCGCACCTGCAGATGCAGTATGGGGTCTTATGGACTAATTGCCTCTCTTACTAGTTTGCGTTATTCTTCGATAATACTATCCTTGTTTCTGACCGCATTGATGTCAAATTGACATATGATTAAATTGAAGTATTAAAACAATACATAATCTCCTTGCCCTGTCAATGTCACGTTTGGCAAGCATGTACTGTATGTCCATAAGCACCATACTGCATCTGTAAGTGCGAACGCGCTATAGACTATAGTTTACAAACTATCCACAGCGGTGTCGGTGTGAACCCAAATCCCTGGTAATTCAAATTACTTCATTGTTCTTTAAGTGTGATCCCCACAAGGGCTTGGAGAATGTTTGGGCTGATTTCAAGATTCACTGGAAGACGTTTTTTTAATAAGATCACGCCAGCCTACGTTGCGGATATAGCGTGGAGACTGGCAGACCCCTGTTTTCTGTTTCGATCGAACTTACGCGCGAACAATAACTGCCAATATTGCCGTACTATAAATGCAGATACATATGGCACATGATTATTAATTGCCCGCAAGTAATCACTATTTGGGAGCTAGTGCAGTCGCTAATTAAAAAAATTGATCCGAACCGTTCTCTACCGACTCCTCACTCCTCAGAATTGGGTTATTTGTGGACTACAGGGCAACACAAATCATGTTATTTTATCCAATTTTTTGATTAGTTAGGTACGCAAAATTCTACATTTACCGTAATGCCATAAGTCAAATGAAATCAAACCGAGTAACACCAAATCTTAGGAATGCCTTCATTATCGCTTTAAAAACTATCATATTACACAACTATTCGTGGCATTTGGGAAAAAATACATGTCAAGTGTTTGTAGATCACTGGTGTATAAATGACGTGATATGTTACATGGACAATAGTTCAATAAACCACAGTTTAAGCTAGAGAGCTAGAAGAGAGTTGAATGGCGAAAGTTGTGACTTGTTTATTTTTATTCTTTTTGTTAAAAGGTCAAAAGTGCTGATGATCATATAGTTTTGTAATTTTGTATATATTGTACAGTTGTAAGAAAAATAATAATAATAATAATAATAACATAAGAACAAATCGTCTATAGTTAATTTAGTTCAGGATAGCAAAATAATTCTTGATTAAAAATAGGTTTTATTTATAGATACAAAGTAACATTTCTATTACTACTTAAAAATACGTAAAACAAAAACAAGTATAAATTGTGCACAACTCTTGTGCAAATAAAGCGCATTTTTTACCGAAATAGCACAGAGCGACTATTGTGTGACTACAGTTGGAAACCAGTTGCGTCTACAACCGGGTTGCAACTGATGAAACAAAATTTCTGTCCGCAACGGGTGTGTTATGAGGGGCTGGTTGTGACTTGTGAATCAGTTGCGTCTATTGTGCAATCAGTAGAGTGTTATTTAGTGCGGCACGTGTTCGTTTTTAAGGCCTTTGTTGACTGTTTGCGTTTACTATGTCAGATTCAGACGAAGAACGGTTGTATGTGACTGACTGGTTCAGAACCAGTGGCGTCGTGTGCGCTTTCCCACTCCAATACATTGTCGAGGTCACAAAACAATTGCGCGCGTAACTGGTTTGCAACTCGATTTTTATAAACTAAACATGACCATAGAACAACAAACTTAGAATGGAAACTCTAATGTAATGTAAAAATGACGCGCCATCTCGTGTATGTTCTCAGCAGCTTTTGCGTGAATGGCGCCAAATTTAAATATTAAAATGTAAGCTACGTCCGCATTATACTGCATTTCTCCGGATCTGTAACAATAACATTGGATTTGACTAGCTGAAACCTAAAAGGTAAATGAATCCAGCCAGTGAAGTCCAATTTTGTTTGTTAGGGATCCAGATAAATTCAGTTTAATGCCGATGCACCTCAACAGTCAGGGGCTTCAAAGAGTACAGACCACTTTATAAGTAACAACTCCAATTAATCCAATCAAGGAGTTATATTTAATTTAATATGGATATACAAGATACAAGATCAACTTCATGGAACTCTACACTTTATGATGCTCTCAAGATCGTTCTAAAAACAAAATATGTAGCAATTTATTACAATTCAATTAGTGTTACCTGCTAAAGATAATGTGCGAACTGCCACACGCTTTAAACCTCTTCGTGTTCCAGGTTCTAAAGCGCAACCAGAAAAATGACGTTCACAAACCAAAAACTTTTGTGTAAATTTCTTCCACATTATGTTCTAA